CAATTATTGATTGGTTTTTAGTTGCTCTTTGTTTTTTTGCAGAAAATTTAACAAATATTTTGCTAAATTTGTGTGGGAATACCACAGGTGTAAAAACGGATTTTATCAAATTGTTGTTGAATAGAAACTATTTTTGTCATTTGTCTATTCTAGTCTCTTTCTGACAGTGTAATGTATATATATAGGAAATTATAATATGGTTATCTCAAATTGCTTTGAAATATCAAAACCATATCACAGTATGTTTTTTTCCCAAAATATAATAAAAATACTATTATTAAATTTTTTTAAAAATTTCTCAATCTCTAATACATGGTTGTGCCTGGATGTGAAATATAGATGTCTTGCCACATCATGTGTAAAGGCAGCCATACTGTGACTCTGTCTACTTTAGTTCTATTTATAACTTATCCAGTGCTATTAGTGTTTTCTGTTTACAATACTGTGCTATATTTGGAAATGTAAGTGTATTTTCACGTTTATATTCAGTGGATCATTCAAATATGACATTCTCCCTCAAACGTTGTTCTAGAAATGACTGACATTACTGTCAGGTTTGCGTTTTCACATACTGACATAGGTGCAGCAGTCATTTTCATACCAGTGATTGAATATAGTGACATTTGTTAATAATATGTTTGGAATTACATTTTTGACTAATTATTACAATATATATGTATGTATTGTTCGCAAAATGTTCAGTGGGTGTCAAACTTGTGAACGTATCCTTCTTTCCTTGTGTGTCCTGGCCTGCGGAAATGGTACAGAGAATCCCGCACCTGTGACCACATACATTTTACTCACGAACGCAGGCAGGCGTTCATAATTGCAACTTTGAAATTGAAGTAATTTATTTGAAAACAGTCGTCCCTTGACTCAAGTGCTCTGTGGTGACCCGAACGTTTTTGTTTTAGTAAATTACACTTTTATTGGTGCAAACATGAGAAAAACTGCGTTCTAATAATATGTTCATGTGGAGGGTGTTCTGTGAATTTGAATTTACGTTATGCAGTCAATTATTTTTTTCTCTTCACCCACGGCGCAATATTCTCACAACTGTGACATTTTTTTCAAATGGGGAACTCCTTATTCAGTGTCAGCGAATGATCTTTGGGCCCCTGGTCATTCAAGCGTGAGGGCAGACAGCGGACATCAACCTAGACGCGTCAGAAGTGACTTGTGGAAAATGTATAATCAGTATGCAACCGGAGATGACTTAAATTAAGACTATGAAAGACTGACCCGCTACGATAATGAGATGCATGGACCGTCGACGTTTAATGGGTCTGGCACGTGGCTCAAATAATCGATACTTCGCTTTAGTGATAAAGATTCCCTGTGCCACGTGCCGCTAATCCTAAAACAAATAACACAAGATAACCATATAGTACTTTTTTAGTAGGGTAATTAATAATAAAGTTCAATGTATGTGTTCTGTGTCTGTACAGCCCACCATTTTAGTTACATGATTACAACTTAAACTATTAACTTATTTTGCCGGAGAAAATGGTTTTATCAGAGTTTGAAATGCAAACTATTTTAGGTATGCCTAGTAGCCTAACGGTCTTTATCGGTGTCATTGGTCCGCCGCGATGACCTTGGAGCGTGTTCGTCCTTCAATGACCAGTGGGCCGGCTCAGATTCTAAAATATTTCTACTGAATTATTGCAGACCCTGTTTTACCGATATCATTACAAGACTTCGAGTTGGTATGGCGCTTATCGTGTCCAATTACGACCTGTCCTTTTGGGTGCATGCTAGCTAGTATAACGTTATGGTAAACCACGTGGTCAGTTATGTTTTATTGTACTATGGAATCATAAACTTATACTTTCTTATGTAAAATACCATGTAGTGTGTATGTGTCTCTGTCTCCCATCCATTGATCCTTACAATAGGGTATATGCCCCATCCCAACCCCGGGGACCCACCAAACAATCTCTATACCACTAGCTCTTGATGCCAACAATTTGTTATTGTTACTCGGAGGATGTATAAAAGGAAACGCCGCATATTCATGATACATAGAGTGCCAAGGATAGACGAGCATCTAATTGCTGTAAACATCCCGAATTGGTGGGGCAGCAAGGACACCAGTACACGTCTTAATATTCTATAATTTTAAGTAAGCTACCGGCATTACCTCCATGCTCCATTGGACAGAATGTCCAGGTTGACCTGATCATTATTTTTTTACCGGCGAAACCGCATCTTGTACCACAGCTGTTGTAGTGACAGCTGCTGGCGCATAATTATTAATATATGCAAATCCTCCCTCTCTTGCGTACAACTATTTCCGTCCGGATGTGTCTGAAATTATCTCAGTAATTTATACATGATTTGAAAAATAATTGAGCCAAAAATATAAAGTGTCGCAAAGATTCTTGTACTACATGGTGTAATGCAAATACTATACACGGCATCCAAACACGTTTTTTTTCTCAAGAAAATTAAAACAATGTACACTGTTTTTATTATCACGAGGAAAAAATGTCGTTGGATTTGTGTCATATGGTCACACGACACACTCAATATCTTTACTTCCGGAACAATTTAAATAAAAACAAATAATACCGGACGGTGTCGTGTGTGTTCCACAACTGTCGTCAATCACGTGAATAATGTCGTGTTGTTTCGTGTTTAAAAATAGAATCAAAGTAAATAAAAATTGTTCATATTTTATATTATCGACCGTAAAATTTCCTAATAATGGCGGGAAAATACATGTCAGAATGGCATTAGTTTGTCGCGGGTTTCGTTTTACTGCCTTTGTGGTGACATCATAAAACATTTAATATTTCCGATTACATAAAAAAAGAATAGCGTGATAATATTGTTCTAGTTGTATTTATGAATGCGACGAGCACCACGACAACTAAAACTCGGGCGTGTCTGACGGATGATGACTGAGGGATGAATTGGAAAATCCTGGTTAAATCAAAGACACTAGAGAAGAGTGTCTTTGGTTGAATACACTGTATAGTGAAATAAATTAACAACAATTTGAGAACAAATCATAGGGTCTGTCAGCAAAAAAAAATACGATCAACGGAATATACGATTTTTATTTCCACAAATTCACGGGAAAGCATCCTCGCAACCATGACCTCTCTACGACACTCCTACTTTATTTTCACGGAGTCTCGAAATGGAAATAAGCTCTTAAATACTTTGCTAATTTTGCATCAAGTTTGCCATCTAAAATGCATTCTGTGAAACCGTAATTTTGTTGTTGCAATATCGACTTTCATTTTTGTAATTTCTTCACGTGAATCAGGTCAAGAACGAACCCCAAAGTAGTTCGCCTTTAGATTCTTGCTTCAAGTTTGGCCATGACCGATATCAGGGGGATAAATAACAGCTCGTTTACCATGAAATTTGCATGGAATTCCTTATATCTTAAGTAAAAAAAAACACGTCTTGCTGTCGAAAAAAAAACAAAAAAATGCTACCACCATTGTTTGCAAGAAAAATGATGACGTATTCTCTGATATCGGAGCTTCCTTTATGTTCCGTACTACTATACTTCTCATCCACTTGTTTCATTGATGAAAAGCTTCAAAGCACCGAACAATCGTGACACTGTGCGCGTCAACGTCTCAGAATTGTATTAAAATATATATGAAATGAATAAATAAAGATAAATCATTATTTTTAGTGTATGTAGTATCCTCACGGCTGTCCTTGAAGTACCCAAATAACAGCCTTGTAATGTCGAGATTACGGCGTAGTAAGGGTTAGATCATTGTAGAATCAGAGTGGAGATATTGCCTGACGTATTTGTTTTGCTATTCGCAGTTTAGGGCAAAATTTCACTTTTCTTTTTATCTGGAATATTTGTTTTCCTTGGCTCATTTACGTGTTATTTTATTGCCAGTCTTCCTTGTCCTGAACAGGTATTGCCCTGGATATTGCTATCGCTCACTTCACCATGAAGATTTACGTTGTTACACCCCTAATAATATGCAAATTTTTACTACAGCGGATTCATATGACCCGATACAACGCACTGAAGGTCGAAGCAAACGTGATCGCACAACAGAATGGGTGACCTTCTATTCTATTCAGTCGAAATGGCGGGAAATAGCATACGTATTGTAGTGGCAGAAATTGTGAGCATGTTTCCTGTAATATTCAGTCACATGGAAGGGATGGGGCAATAAAATACCAAAAAATACACAGCTGAAAATAAAAAGGTGCTGATTCTATAATCGAGCAATTATATAGCATGCGCATAATCTGCGGCGTTCCGAGGAGCATGGCACAGTGAGTGTGGGCTCGCTGTCGGCCAGCTAGACATGTCAGTACTGACCATGCATGGTTGGTATTGGATACTCTAGGCTCGGTGTCGGAATATCAACCTTTTTTTTTTTTTTTTTATAAAACGTTAATCATGATTGCAGTATTATTTAAAACACCTTTGCCGGGACGTATTTGGCATGACCTCGCTAATTTATTGTTTTAAACTCAAAACCGAATTATTTTAGAGGACTGCATTAAATTAAAGTTCGTTGAATTGTATTGTGGACACCATCACCAGCAGTTTGTGATTGTGAATTACATGTGCGATGCATGCAGTGGACTTTGTGTTGTACCATTTACCATGCGTTAGTCATGCCATCTTATTGGTTTATAAAACATTTGGGAGATTATCCATTGTACTCAGATACGAGGGCCACTATTGACATACATTAATTTTCCTTTGTGCCCAAAAGGTCACAATGACAATTACCAAAACTGTGCAAACCCAGGGTTTAAACGTTATCACAGATTGGACTAAACTATTTCAACGCAAATACAAGATTGGAATGCAACCAGATCCACCCTTTGCCTAGACAAATTCAGTATTGATAATATTCTAGTGGTAATGGTCAAAGGTGAAATAAATTGACCAGAACAGGGATGGGAATGTTAAGTATGTGGCTATGGCATTTGTGAAACAATTGGCTTATTCTACATGCCAGAGATGTTATACAAGGCAGTTAAATAAATGCACAAACTTAGTTTTTTGCTTCATACAAACAATGCTTTAAAAGCTTTTATTTTCACAATAGTAAATATCCATATAAAAAAATACAGACTCTGAATTTATTTACAAATATTAAAAAAAAATTATTCATGCAATTGAACTGAGGTGGGGGTGGAGGAGACAGTTTCAACTTCAAGGTTTTTCAAACAAGGAGCTCCCCACCCAAGAGTTTTGTGTTCAACTTTTGCAAAATAAATAATTGCATTTGTGTGTTGCATTTATTAAAATTCATTTTGGCTACCACGATATAGACAAAAAGGCAGCACCAAATTTATGTACAGAGACCAGCAACTCTCCTTTCTGGTAAACAATCTACATGGGGAGGGAAGGTAAAACACCAAAACCCCACAAAATTGTTTTAATAAATAGTTCTTATGTACAAAAACTTACAACAGTTGGAAAATGAGTCAGACAACCAACTGACAAATTTGGAATAATTTAGGGTTTAAAAATATACAGCTCGGCTTATTTCTGGGATTGCCCTTTTCAAACCTCAAATTGCTTTTTAAAAATTAAAATACTAGGTCAGAATAGTTTTGGCCAAGATAAAATTGTGCAATTTAATGCACTAATCTGGCTGCCAGCAGTCGTAGCAATTTGAGGAAGAAATTAAAAGGGGCTTATGTACTACTATTGCACTGCACCTTAGTTCTGTGTACAAAGTATTTGTACTGGCAGTATGGATTGCACTGGCCAGCAGGACACTGGCCTGGGCAAGAATTGTAATTTAACTACATTGCCACTCGGGCTGCACAAAAAGTTAATTGGCAGTGGAAAATAATCATCAACATTCACCACAGCTATTTGTTCCCAAACTGTTGTTACTGCTCTGCAAACTACTTTCACTGCTAGATGTTGATTCAACACTTTCTGCACTGCTAGATGATTTTATTTCGTTGACATTTTCTTTGCTACTGCATGTGCCGACAGATGTTTCAAAGTTCTCGCGGTCGACACCTTGTTGGTCCATTGATTGTTTGATAGGATCCGTGCTGTTTTTAGTACAGCCTTTCTGCATCCATGGATGCTCCAATACTTGTTCTAATGTTGGGCGATTGGATGGCCTTATTGAAAGCATCCACTGAATTAAGTCTTGCAATTCTGACGAAATGGTCCTTCGAAAGCACACTTCTGCTTTGCAGATTTCATCATCATGTTCAAAAGGAATGTCTCCACAAGCCATATCATACAGTAAAATGCCCAATGACCAGACTGCTGCAGAACGTCCATGGTACCGATGGAATCTCACCCACTCTGGCGGACTGTACACTCTCGTTCCTGCACATAGAAAATAATTAAAAGAACGATTAATAAAGATACAATTTCTAGGAATAATCACTGAAGATATGCAAGGAATTCAATATGAATGCACTACATGCCAGAGGATATCTCCAAGAAATTCAATGCCATCAACCTCCATACAAGGAGACCCGAAAGGTTCTGTGTATGCAAGCCTGGCATTTTTTTCTCTAGACAGATCAGTATTTTTAGGCATTCTCAGTCAGGCAGAGTGACCATACAGAGGCGATTGTCCTCGAGTAGCCCAGACGCACACTAACTGCATTCAGGACTCAGTCATGCTTTTTCTAACAATGAATTCATTCACCTTTGCTTTAGCACTAGTCAATTCATAGACCTTACCTAAAGGGACTTGCTATTTAATTGTTGTGCAAACACCCTTTTCATACATTTGACTTTGCTTTATCAGGAAAATGGGTAGGGCCCTTTTATAAAGTGCAAACTCATCATGGGGTCACTATAACCTGATATGCTAATAAAGTCACACCATGTCATCAATGTAATTGAATAAATCAAATAGTAGGCATAGCTTTTTTTGCCCATTGTTAAAAAAAGAAACTGTTCTAAAAACAATTGTATGCTAATTGAATGTCAGCCTTAAAGATGCAGGGTAAAGTATTTCAAATAAAACCATTTACTCCACTCAGCTACGAATGAGCAAGGTATTCAAAATGGTCAAGACTACATGAAGCCCTTGCAAGTGCCTCCTGCCAACACTGTCCATTTAGAAATGCAGTCACGTTTCAAGTGTCTGGGTCATGGAATTATGCGTCTAGCCTAGCAATTTATACATCACAATCGACCATTCCAATAGGATTTAAACATTTCAAGCGATATCAACGAACGAACCAAGAAAAAAAATAACTCAAAGTTAGCATTCCTGGTGGTCGCGACCCACCGCGTGTATAGTCTAGTCGCGTGTAACACGATAAAAGTTGGCTGCCAACGAGAGGCTTGTTACTATATCACGTTACCATTCATATAGTCACGGGACATGTAACCTTGAGACGACAGGCTAAATACGGGTCCCCCTACCATCATATTAAACATGTGCTATGTTGTAATTTGTCAGATAATGTGCAAAACAAACTCACCATCAAAATCAGTGTAAACTGTATCTTTAAGGAACGCGCCTGATCCAAAGTCTATAAGTTTAAGTTCACCGGTTTTCAAGTCTACAAGGATGTTCTCATCTTTCAAATCCCTGTGTACAACGCCAGCCTCGTGGCACCTGGCGGTACTTTCCACAATTTGTCTTAGAAAACTTCGTGCGACATCCTCGGTTAGAGCACCGTTTTCGGTGATAAAATCAAACAAGTCCTTGACGGGTTCGGGCCTTTCCATTACCATAATAAAACTATCTGATCGTTCGTAGAAGTCTAGGAGGCGTATACAACCTTTGACGCCACAAACACGGCGTAGCAGACATACTTCTAGTGGT